TTGGCCACTCGTGGAAATTAAGGTTAGTAAGGGTTTTGATATAATAAAATATATCGCAAGTCCACTTACGTATATCAACACTGTGGCAATCCTATTGCGCATGCCCATCTGGAAGATAGCTGATTTTTCGGACTGCCGTGTGAAATAAGAAATATACAGATTTAATAAAGTATATTAGCTTTTGAGACTAAAACGTGAACGACAAACTTGAGGTTAAAACTTGACGTTTCAGCATTTACCCTAGCGTGATCCACGTGGGGTTCGTAGTGACCGGCAATACCGTAATTAACAACCTAACAAGACAAAAACAACAGATAAATACCGGCAAAAAGCTCGGATAGGAATAGTATCAAAATTTAGCATATTAGCCTGTTTAGTCATACAGTATTATCTAAACAAGTTAAATGCTTTTCGAGCAAGCTTTCTGGACAACACTGAAAGGCAACAGTTCCCTCTTTCTAACCGAACACAAAAATTAAATCTTGGGGCTTGATGGTACAGAGCGCGAAGATTTTTGCGTCACTTGTTTCCTTCGCGCTGGGGCGCTCGCATCGTGCTACACACGCTGCCCGCTAAACCCCCTGTACTGCGGTTAATTCCGGTACAGTTCACTCCCGATAACTCGAACCCCCGCTAACTCGAAGTAATTTTCATTTCCCTTCAGGCCATTTTCTATATAATTTTACCCTCGATAACTCGAACTCCCGGTAACTCGAACCTTTTACTATTTCCCCTGAAGGCTTGAGTTATCGAGAGTCGACTGTACATCCAGGTCTGATAATCACCTGTAGCGCTTCAGTGTGGCGACTGGCAGTAGACAGACCTGTAATGGCTTCCAACCTTCGATTTAATCGCATGATGGGTTCTCCTTCTTCATCATCTAGCCAGCCACTGTAAAGAAAGTTAGTTTAATACAACACGAGTTTGTTTTATTCGTAAAATACTAAGTAATGCTTTTCACTGGAATCAAATAATTGAGGGTTGTGCGCTAGAATCTATCATCTTTTTTATACGGAACAAAATTTACACCATCGCGTTTCGTCACCACTAGAAGCGTTAAAGAAAACACAGTGCGAAATACTGTGAACGGGAAACCTTTGACGATGAGGAATAATTAAACTATAACTAGAGACCCGTCGCATAAATGTTGCCTAAATTTGAATAAAAATGACGTTATTCGCCCTTATCCTCGTACTTATGTTTCCAGACAAATATACCTTATGCGAAAGTGCTAGTGGCAAGGCTGACCGTACAATGACGTCACAAGTTTCTCAACCGTCTCTTTTTGCAAACGTACTAACCGTGAGCCTTCTCGTACTGCGCTCGCACCCAGTTCTCTATTCCGTGTCGGCAAAATATTGATTTATGTCAATACCGATTATCACAAATTACATGACTGAAGAGACCTTGTAAAACTGTTTTGGCCAAATCTAAGGGACATATTGTAGATCTAAGTGAGCATATGAAAATTATCATATATGAGAACTGCGGAGAGGGACGTGAAGACATGATTGATCATCGCAGTTATACACAACTCTACGGAGCAGTTGTGAAATTAAAGCTTAAAAAAAATTCAGGCTTGAACGGGATTCGAACACACGACCTTTGCGATACCGATGCAGTTCTCTACCAACTGAGCTACCAAGCACACTGGGAGCTGGTTACGTTATGAACTGCGCACATAACTGCGATGATCAATTATGTCTTCATATTGTAGATCTGCTGAGAAGCCCACATGGACGGTTGGCCACGCCGATAAAAGTGTAATTGTTTACAAAATTTTTCAGTTTTGACTTTCTATACCTCTTACTAATTCTATAATCTGCAAATTCCAGATTTCCCGTGTTCCTGTTGGTGACAGTGGCTCTTTCAAGCTGCATTAATGAAAGAGATATACTTCATCACACTCAAGAATAAACTGGGCGACAATAGGACTGCTTTTAGTTGGCCCGCCTCAGTTAAACGTATTGCTTTAAAAAAGCACAGTCACTGTATTTTGAGTTATTTTGGCCACGTACAAAATTACCTTTAACTTGGAGGAAACCTGAAGAGAACTGTTTACTAAGAGAGAAAAATATCAAAGAGACAATAATAAACCATAAAGAAACTAGGATGGTCAAGGATAGAGAAGGTTGACACGGATTACAAACGACGAACTTGAAAAATGTACATAAGCTCAACTTTTCAAGATCAAGTTGGTTATTCCTGCCAGGTAGAATGTACCTGCAGAAGTCAAAACGGCAGAAAACATTCTTAACCGCAGTCTCTATATTTCCCAGTCACAAAATAGTCGTGAAGAGAGACCCTGATGGCCTGGGTACGAAGTTAATGTTGCTCAGCAACCCCGAGAGCCGAACAATAATCCCTCACGCTTCCGATATATTTGGGGAGCAGAGATGGCGTAGGAGTGAGAACGCCCGGCTGGATCAAAGAAGGCGGCCCTGGTTTGATTCTGGCCTAGTGTCAGATGTGGATTGAGTTTGCTGTCAGTCCGAGTGTTTTTCTCCAGGCACTCCAATTCTCCTCCCTCTTAATAAAACCACCGTTTACAAGTTCCAGTTTTACCAGTATCCTGCACGAAAACCAGCTAAGGTAATGAGACTTGCTCCTCTTTAAATAAAGTGTAAGGCTTACAGTATCAATATTTTATACTATATATTTACTTAGGTTATTAAGCGAAAGAATTCTGACTCACTCTAGGAGCTGCGAGGTCTTTGATAAATTCAATGTCTTCATCCCTGATAATGTCGTGTAGGAGATATATGTGAGGATTAAGACTCGCTATTTCAATTTTGACTGGCTTGATGGCAAGCAACGGATGCTTGTTGTAGTAATAACATGTTAACTTATCCAGTTCAGATTGACTCTGCGGAAATACGAAGAGGATAGAGTTTTAGTGTGTACCGAAAAATCATTCAAATACCGTTGTTTAAGTTGTTGGCTTATCGATAGTTTCTTTCTTTCCATGGACTGATCTTA